AACTCACCATGTGAAACAAAAGTGAATGAATATTAAACAACATATAAACTTAAAAAAAAAAAAGCCCCGGTTAAGCCGCAAACCGGTTAATCCGCCCCCGGATAATCGAGAGTTGACTGTAGTTCATAGTTATCAGGTGGAACAGTATGCCCATGCTCTTTTTCTTCTCCCATAAAGTTTTAGATCTGTTATGTGCAACATATCTTTTGTAATGATTGCAATTAGGCATATTTTTAAGGCCATGTTTTCCTTGTATCAGCCTTGTTTGAAGAGTGATAGTTTGTGTGTATTTTGCATTATTTATTGCATATGAAAATGAAAAAATGTGAAAGAACACTGGCTGATATTTTTAAACAGCTTGAAATGTGGTGTATAATCATATACCTCGATTTTATTTTGATGTAAGCCTTATATTCAAAAGAACCCTTGCCATTTATTTGATTGATACTGTGCAGTCCCTCCAGCAGTGGTTATCAATTCCTTTCCTTCATACTGCTGTGGCTACAGCAAATTTGCTCATATTCATTGATAACATTCATTTTACTTCATATGTGGAAAGTTCTAGTAGCAGTTGGTGCTATAGATTTTTAATGAGTGTAATTAACTATTATATTTGATTATGGTCACATAACATCATGGAAATAATTCTACATTGAACACGCAAGGAAAGATAGGATGCTAATTTAATAAAATGTTGATGTTAGGAGGTCTTGGACAGAGAATTAAGTCTCTAAGTCAGTGGTATCTACACTACATCAAACAAGAGTACAGTACTGGTACATTATGTATCCAGACATATGTATAATCAGCATTACAGTAGAATTATGTAGAAAAAATGTTTGCAAGATAGAAATGCCTGCATAGACATTTGATGCCCTCTTAAAAATAATGGATAAAAGGTCTGTATGCATTGTGTAAGCACGAAATTCCAGTAACATTCTCTCGTGTTTCTTTGTTGCCATCCAAACGTGTGACAGATTGCCTTCACAGGCCTTATCTTACATCCACTTGCAGTGTAAATTTAAATTCATTCATTCATTTATTTCACTTTCTAATTGATCCTGATACAGGCATAATACAAGCCATAGGATATAGAATGAGTCACGATCAAAATTTAAGTTACAATAATTAATTTAAACATGTCAAAAACAAAAAAAAAAAACAAACATACATGCAAACAAGCATAAAGCGGACATAAACAAATTTACATCGGATACAGTAAATATCAATTTGCTGTGTCAAATAACATTTTGTGCCAAGTGTGTCAAGAATTTCGGATCTGAGTGTGAGGTAAAATTGTTCTTGTGCTTAATTAATTAAAGCACTACCTTGCAGACGTGGCGGAGTAGAGGTATAGCACCACCATTCTTGACCTTGGCACCAGGTGAAGGTGAATCATGACCTCCATGCCACAGCCCGGGGGAAGAACCTCCAGTACCCATTGGGTAGGAGGCTGGGTCCTGTGGGCTAGAGAAAAATCTCTTTGCCTCTGCCAGTCCAGCCTGCAGCCAATTGCTGTACCGGCTGGGGTGTCCCATATTGGTTAATGAATTTCCTACCTGGTGATTAGGGCTAGCTAATTTTCAACCACTGGGGGTAATAATTTTCTTTTATACATTGAGAATGTGATTTGATTATATCACAGTAGTGTGTGTCGCTGATGTGCATTTGTTGTGCATATTTCTTTTCCAACCTAGGTTTTGATTACAAGATCTGCAACGTATTACTGGCCCTTGATCAGCAGTCTCCAAACATTGCAGCAGGCGTTCACCTCAACCGCAGTGATGACGATGTTGGTGCTGGTGACCAGGTGATTTTATTGCTTGTGCCATCTGTATAATTTTCTTTCATGCAAGCTTCTAGATATTGGTGCAAATTCTTGACTGTGTGTTGCATCGTAATGCTCAGTTTGTTGGCTTATAGTAAGGAATATTATTAAAGGGTAAGGCTCTTTCCCTTTTAGAAATATTAAATCTGTGATTAGGAGGCAGAATTTGTTGAGGTATGGCATTGTATGTAAGATTTGAGGTTTTCACGGCAGTGACTATGAAGAAAGCAGTCTTCTGGGATGTGGCGCTGCGTATATGTGGTGTTAACCGACGTTTTGGAGGAACATATTGTCTCCATCCTCGACATCAAGACCCGATATATGGATTGCATCATTAGGGAAGCCATTAAAATTGAACTCTATTCTGACAATATGAACAGAGGGAGGGTTTTGTCTCAGCAAGTCATAGAAGCCTCTCATCTGTTCCCTAAAAACCCCTGGGGACATGAGGCCAGATCCACAAGGCCACAGAGTCCATGACTGACTCATAGCAACCTCCCCAGCTTAAAGGTTAATGCCCTCGCATTAACCTTGCCTTTCTCTCTCCCCCCCCCCGATGACACAATATCATTTACCTGCTCCCCAGACCCTTCCCCCCTCTCCCTCTCCGCTGATTTCCCATGTAGACCTGTCCCTTCATTTCCTGCTCTCATATAGCTGAGTTTATTTCCAACATTAATCTGCTTGCACATGTTCTCACTGTCTCTTCACTTGCAGATTGTCTTATTTTTCCTCCTACCCTGAAGATGGAGGTGATACGTTCCTCTGAAACGTTGGTTAACTCCACATCTACATGGTGCCACATCCCAGAAGACTGCTTTCTTTATGGCATTCTCGTTTGCTGACGTTAGTAATAAAGTCAATACCTGAGTGTGCCACATTTTAGGAAATATGCTTTGTGAAAGCTGGGTAAAAATAATTTCTTTGGTAAAGACAATAAGTTTGCTAAGGAGATTTTGAAATGTGTGACTCTGCCCAGATAATTTTTGTTAAGAAAGACAGATTTAAATTAATTTCACATTGCCCAGATAATTTTTGTTAAGAAAGACAGATTTAAATTAATTTCACATTAACTGCTTTGCATCTTGCAGAAGTTGCAATCCTGCACTTGTCACAATATTGCATTATGTCAGTCATAATTTTTAATTACTATTGGCAACTGATGTTTCATTTAAGTATCCTGTCTCTTAGAGATATATAAATAGGTGATAGGTATGTATTAAATGAGTGAGACTGTGAGGGTTGTTATTCCAGTATGGAAAGAGTAATTGATTGTGACTAATTGCAGATTGGATTCATGAGTGACATCTTAGAAAATTGTTTTGTAAATATAATGTCTAAACATTTAGATTGTTTCATAAGCCAGAACTGATAAATGGGGAGGTGTATAGATTGCCATACACTTCGTAACACTGTCCTCTAATTTGTAATTTACTTGCACATCATTATGGAGTTACATTTTCTCTTTTTTGTGTTATTGTCAAAATTGGTAAGAAACTTGATCTGTTCTGCACATGAAACAAAGAATATCAGTTGCACTGCAAAAGCCTAAGTTTTTTCATTCTAGCACTCTTGACAGGCTTGTTTCAAGGTACAGGATTGGTGATGGGTGTGCCCACAACAGGAAGGTCTTGTGACAGCAAGAGAATTTGTTAGCTATAGCTGAGGCTGTTCAACACTGAAATTCAGAAGTAGAACATGGCTTAAGTTGATGATCAGTACAACACACACTGCAGATGTCTTAACTCAAATGTTATATGTTCATGGCTCCACAAAAATGACCAAGAAGCTGCAAACTTGTGACCTCTTTCTAAATGAGTGTAGTATAATGAGTTATTCTGATTTGAACTTGGAATGTTACATGGTCTAATGGGACAGATTTCAAACCAGTCACATTAACAAACAACTGTGTTTTCTGGGGTGTTGAAAAGTAAAGTAAATGTATCCCTGTAACAGGCCATGGAGGCCCGTAAGATTGTGAGATGTTGAGGTTCCCACATTTTCTAGACACTCGGCTCATAGATGGCGGTAAGGTTGTCAGCCCTATGTGCTGGCCGCCTTTACCCCAAAGAATATTCCTGGTACTGATTTCAGTTAGAGCCTGAGTCTACCCCGGGGCCATGGTGCATCTGGAAGGATTAGGTAAATTGAAAAAATTCAGTGACCTCATCAGGATTTGATCCTGCGACCTTCCAGCTTTTTTTTTATTTAACTCCAATAATTACACAATCTATCCATTAAGTGTGGATAATAAGAAAATTTGTGGTTAATTTACATATGGCAAAAGGAAAGAGAGTACTTGACGTGGTGAGCATATTCCAGTGAACATGCTCAATACTTATTTTGACTGCTTAGTAATATGCAGTTAAGTGTTGTATTATTCGAATCTGGTGGGCAGATCTGATTGTTTAAATCTGTTTAGCCTCCTAATTTCCCCTTCGTCATTGAGTAGTTTTTGTGCCAAGTCATTCGGATGGGCCTGTAGTCTGATTTTATACTTTTTGCTGTTTTTTTATTTCCTCTCATACTGTTGGTACATCTAGGTCCTTGTGTAGTACCATGTTCGGCACATACCATGGTGCATTAACTATTATTTGTAATACTTTGCTTTGAAATCGGAGGATTTCTATGTTTGAGTTACTGGCTGATCCCCACAATGGTATCCCATACGTCCATATCGGTTTGAGCATGGTTTTGTACAGTAAGATCTTGTTTTCTGTCGATAACTCCGACTGTCTTCCCAGCATCCAATACATCTATCAGAATTTTATTCCGAGTTGTTTTCTTTTGGTGTGAATGTGTTTTTGCCATGTCAATCGTTTATCCAGGTGTATACCATGGTATTTGGCGTCTTCTGCTTGTGGTATCAGAGTGATTTAACGTTACGGGAGGACAGGTAGTGCGTTTCATGGTAAACGTTACATTTGTAGACTTATCCGGCTTGTAAATCCCAGAAATTACTGTTGACATTTTGAACCAACCTAGAGTGCAGTTTCCTGATGTGATGTGATCTCTACCCCTCCTTTTTAATGAAAGTAACTGATCGGTCCTACTTAAAAATGCTGTGATAGCATGTAGGTTTTAGCTTTGTAACCGTAATTATATAATTAAGGGTATGAACAACTAATGCATTGTTTCTCACCATGAGAGACGCTCCATCGGCGAGATACCATCCCGGGACCGTCTCGTAATTCAGCTATTGTCCTCCTTAGGCTAAGGGTGCCCCTATTGTCCCTAATGCTGCCTGTTTACTCCCAATACCATAAACCCATGAACTCACCGTGTGTGAGACTGGCCAGCAGGGGTCTTGCGTGCCTTGAAGACCTAAAAAAGTTTACGGGCTTCTCCAAAATACGAATATAGGTCAGATGCCGGGCTCAACCCGTGGCTTTCTCTTTTTATGTTTCTATTTTTCGTTTTTTTAGGCCAACTGGGGGACTGGTAAAGAGAGGGCAGTCGGTTATAGGGAGCGAAGGAGGACGGTAGTTGGAAGGTAGATAGAGAAGAGAGAAGTGTTTAAGAGTAGTGGTAGCTAGTCGGCGGACAGAGCGGCTAGTTTGGAGAATAATGTAAATATTCATCATTAATGAAATTTTAAATTAAAACTGCAATCCACGGTGTGTTCTGGAGCCCCCCGGATTCATAAACCTCGAAGTGTGTTCCACTCCCATATTCGAAGCACCCGTATCCTGTGATTAAGAACTCAAGCTCGAGCGACAGTCGTGGCGGCTGTACGTCGGTGGACGGCTGCAGCTTACAGTTAGATGTATGAAGACATGCTTCAAGCAAGATGGAGCTCTAAGTCATTTTGCATGTAGTGTTAGGTTGTTTTTCAAGAATTTCTTATGTAGTGATTAGGAGGAGGGGTTCCATTAAGTAGCCGCCATGGTAAGCTGGGTACTAACATTTAATTCTTAGCCACACACACATTTCTTAGTAATGTAATTGCAATATCATGCACGGTATTCTTTTGAAGAAGGGGCTTCATCTTTATTATAATTTATCTTAATCCAGCCCTGAATTCCTTTCCTGCAGGGATATGACATTGCAGTGAAAATAACCTGCTTTCAGCTATCTGTTGCCAGGCCTCACAAAAGTAATGCTATATTTCAGTTTCTTAATAATGTTTCAGGGCAGTAGTTGCTTACAAACTTGTACCCTATGCTGGAAAGATTTTGCAGGAATGTCAGTTTTTGCAGACTGCCTTATGGTCTGTCAAGCAGTGTGCTGCAGGAGGGCAGAAACAATTCAGGAACTGAATATTGCAGTGTTCAGTTCATGACTTTCGTGGGTTTTCATTTTGAACACGTTTTCATTTAAGAAAGCATTTCACCGCCTTATAGAAGGGTTTTAATATAAAAGTGTTACATCTATTAATAAACATACAGTGCATTAAAATCATTACTGTGTATGCTACATCTGCAAAATAACAAGCAGGGTGTTGATCATTGACTATACCATATATCAGCCTTTAACAGGTAAAACTGACAGCCATTATACAGTCTAGTCATTGCAAGATACATATTTCTGTCCTCATTGTTGCTCGGTCAGTATAGTTTGCTTGTGGACTAAACCCACAGGGTTTTTTTTTTTTTTTCCTCTGTGTGTATTGCTTTGATTTGGCTCAGTTAAGCCATGCATTTACACTTTGTGTATTAAGCTGTTGAAAGGTTAAAGTGTTTCCCATGCCTGGATATCTGGTGTAATTTAACAAGTGTATTATGATCTATATTAAAAGTAGATAAGTCATTGCCACTTTTATTTTGTGCTGTGTTCTTTCAGTAGTGTCATGCACTGTATGTTCTTATAGCATCATATATGTAATTTATTTATGTTTTAACATTTGAAATATCCTGTTTTACGAATGTAATGTTATGTGTACAATGATTGTTCTTGCCACCCAAGGTATACTGTATGGGAAGTAGCCATGCATTCTTCTAGTAGTTTTCCTTATTCATATCCTTTGATTGCATGCTGCTTTGAATTAATTGTATTAATGTAGGTGTGCTTGGTAGTATGGATACTTGAGCATGGCAGTATGAATACTTCTTGTGTTCTCTGTCACATCTTTTTTTATGCTTGCTCTTTTGTTAGTGTAAGTATGTAAACTGCCATGACTCTCTTTATACCATGTGCTGGTCTCTTACTGTGTATTTAATAATATTTTCTTTTACCAGTCCTTGGATTTGGGCATCCTCTTAGATGAAGGTATATTCTGCAAGTGCAGTTGTTAAGGGTACATTTGAACCTGTGTTAATAGTGACTATACTAGTTGTATGTACATTTAGAAATATATTAAAAATTTTCTAGTCAATGAAATACTGATCCAGCAAGGGTGTCAGGTCTGTGTATAGTATGGTGGACTTTCACAAAACTTCATTAATTCAAGAACACGTTTTGTATTTTTGTGACACCTGTTCAGTAGAAAGATATCTGCAAAACCGTACTTTAAAGAATTTTAGTTTGACGCCATATTGTCTTGCAGGGTTTAATGTTTGGCTATGCCACAGATGAAACTGAAGAATGTATGCCATTGACAGTTGTGCTTGCTCACAAGCTGAATCAGCGTATTGCAGAGCTCAGGCGAAGTGGTGAATTCTGGTGGGCACGGCCTGACTCAAAAACACAGGTAAGTTGTTACATAGATGTAAGGGTTTCAGTGCCGTCTTTGGGTGAAATACGGAAAAATGTAAAATGAATAGTGGGCACGCCCAGTAATAGATCTGTCCACCCCTCACTATGTACAAGTGCCATATTTGTAGATTTATTAAGCAATCATTATTGCTGTTAACCCATAACCTTCAATGGAAGTGCGACTGTCTCAGTGATGTATACCAGTATTTGCTACTCTTGATTTTTACATGATGTAAAATGCTGTTACCACCAGATGTGATGGGCTGAGAGAACAGTCACAGATAAGTAACCCTTTGCATGGTACATTCTGACTACAGCAATATGGGGTACTGCATTAAAGCTGCCACATCCAGAGAGATCATTTCTTTTTAAGCAGTTGATATAGTATTTGTGTCAGTAGGTGATATAAAGCGTATATTGTTGTGTGGAAGGAATAGTGAACTTTCACATTAAATATTTGTCACTGAAGGGCATTCCAAGAAACTACTCAGATTATGTTGCTTGTATTGTCTTCCTGTTATTATGGGCTCCTATTTGGCGTTATGAAGTTGAGTCAGTTACTGTAAGTTTGGGATACACCATATCCACTGTATTTGATCTCAGCCTGTGAATGTAAGATCTGTAAACTTTGATCTACCATATTTTCATGTGTATAAGTTGCACTTGAGAAAAGTTGCCCCCCAAAATTGGAATGTGGTTTATGCATGAAATGTTACATTTTTGAGGGGGGTGAGTTTTCTTTTTATTGGTGGCCTCTTGTAGGCTGGGTAAGTGTAATATTGATCTACCATATTTTCATGTGTAGTTGCCCCCCAAAACTGGGATGTGGTTTATGCATGAAGTGTTTTCTTTTGATTGGGGGGGGTGAGTAAGTAAACATCAGTGATATAGTTGTTTTAATCATAGTATGTTAGTTCACTGTTTAGTCTTCACTATTAGTTGTATCCTTGCAGCAGATTGCTTCATCAGACCCATGTTCAGAGATGCCAGTAACTTCAAAGTTTTTAGCTATCATAACTTGCAAAACAGATTGCAGGGCTTTGAGAATCTGCTGTTACATTTCTGTCAGCTCATGCCCTCTTAAGGTGAAATGGTTGTGCCATCTTTTATGTTCTCATAATTCAGGCTACACATTTCCTGCCATATGGCCCCAAAAGCTGTCTAAAATCAGGGCAGACACTGCCATGATGCTCTTAGTCAAGTGAAACGATACAGATGAATCCAGTCTTAACTAGATCTTCAGTAACCATACTAACACACTGGACCTTTGCTCATTTTGCAGACAGTCACAAGATCTTAATGAAGCACTGATAGTATACACGAAACAGGCTTCACTTCAAGTGGACAGACTTTTTATGGTGACATAACTTTTGTACTTGCTGCTGGTGAAGGTGCCATTAGATATTAGTTGCAGCTTGAACACATTGCTTATTTATTACAAAGCCAAACCAACAATAATCGTACTGTCACATCTGGCCAATAAAATTTCTGTAATATGATTTTCTGTTTTTGTGTAAGTCTTCTGCTTCCCGTTGGCAAAGCGAGTCAGATTTCTTGGTAACATGGAAGTGTCACAGATCCTTAACTTACAATGGCAGCCAATTCAGTTTCATTTTTTGACCACGGATGTTTTTCGGGGCAGATTTATTGATATGTGTCAATTGTTAGACTTCATTCGGAAGGACATTGCACACACACAAAGGCACCAGCATGTTGGCATATTTCGATTATGTGAGCGGCTGACATTGGTGCCCAGAAGCTGGAAGACCTGACATCAACAGATTACTGTGAAAGCTGGGGACAACCAAAGTTCCATGAATGCAGTTGCAATTTCACGTAAAATCTAGTGCAGCGTATATGAGATTTTTGTATTCCACATTCTTGACCAAAAAGTCTGTGTGCAGCTTATGCACTCGCAAATACAATTCCTAATATTTCTCATCTTAACATATAGGAAGAGAAATATTAACAAGGTCTAGGAAGAACTAACCACGTATTCTTTCACTGTAACTTGAGTATCTGATGTGATAAGACTAAAGAAAACTTTAGTATATCTTGTATGCATAATGAAACCAGTACAACAGTGCAGTTTGGTAGGCTGCAGTGCTCTTATTTCTGATGGGAGTGACCTATTAAATGCACCTTTGAGATACATGATATATGTACAAAATTTGAAGGTTGAGTTGTGCATTTAGGTAATATTAAGGTTATTGCCTCAACAGTCTGAGAGCTGTAGTATTGATGCTAATAGGAAGTATTTATGATGCATGCCGTTAAAATGACCTCAGATGGCATGACACATATGTACCAAGTTTCATGACAATTCAGGAATTCAAGTAATATTAATGGTATTACCTCAACAGTTTGAGAGGTGGTGTTAATACTACTGATGAGGGGGATTCCTGAAGTATGCTGTTGAAATGGCCTTGAGTGGCATGATGTTTAATGTGTATGAATGACTATAGATGGGTTTTGGGTTGGTGACTTGATTTATTGATCAGTTATAGACTTATGACTCATGACTACACTTTCAGATCACTGATACATGTGTCCTCAGTCTGTTAACAGTCTCGGCTAGCCGTTTCCTGGCAGTGGATTGTAACACAGGAACTATTAAGGCTCACTGAATTACACATGATGTCTTCCCTTCACAGCCCGGACTTTCAACTGAGCACTCTTGCAACTAACTTGCGGTCATTTCATGCAAGCCTCATGGTCTTCTCGTCACTGCCTATCAATTGACTAAGCGCTAATCTTTCTTCATCTCGCTTATGACCTGTTGGCACAGACCACAGAAAATCTCTCATCCATTATTGTAGTTCAACTGTTGCATTCTTAATAATCTGCTACCTAGCAATGGGCGTTATTTTTGTGGACATTGCCAAGAAACTGATGTTTCAGAGCAGTTCGCTGGCAGTGGCTGTCTTTCGGGAAGATTGGTACAGGCATCCAGGCAATGTTAAGGCCTTGTCTTAGGGATTTGAATGACTAATGTTGGTATTTGTGATTGTGAATTGATGTTGAGATGGGCTCGGGTGCTTTGATATGCATACCCAGTTTCATAAAGCTTGGTTCATGCATTTAATTTTTTTTTTGTGGTGGGGCATACACAGGCAGCAAGGTAATCTCATATGTCTGTCTTTATTTTTTCAAAATAAGGAAAGGAGGCTAAATATGAAAGGTTTGATGATGCTTGCAGATAGTGATTCTGCTTTGGGTGGAAATAACTGAAAATGAGTGTACGAAGGTAATATTCTGTTCCCAGAACATTGACAAATCACTTGATGTGAAGTGATAATGATAATAACCTGGTGGTTGTGCAAATGGTGAGAAGGTATATAATGTGGTCTACATATTTTCCACACAATGCTTCGTATCTAAAATCATTCATGTAGTTAGGAGCTAATTGCTGGAATGAAGAACTTTAATTTCATATCCTAGTTCTTCATGAATTAGTAGAATGAATGCAATCATTTTACATTATTACAGGTGACATGCGAATACTGTATGTATCATGGGGCCTGCATTCCTTTGCGTGTGCACACTGTGGTAGTCTCTGTTCAGCATTCAGAGAAAATCAGCCTTGAGGAACTCCGTGCAGATGTGATGACCAAAGTGATTAGAGTGGTGATACCAGAGAAGTATTTGGATGATGGAACGACCTTTCATATTAACCCTTGTGGGCTCTTTGTTGTTGGAGGACCACAGGTAAGTGGTTGCTGTTTTGGCCCTTTGTCCTTTTATGTTGTATGCGTATTTACTGTCAGTATGTCGTCTTCCCAATTTGTACTTCACAGCTTAGTTTGGTTTGCATTTCTTTTAAGGTTTTGTTGTAAGTTGAAGTCATCAGTTAGATCTCATCATCGTCACAGCTTAGACCATATGACCAATTCCAGCACTGTCTTTTACAGTCACTTTAAATTTGGTTGCTTGTTTGTCACAGCAATTCTTGTGGAAGTAAGATTTCTGTTCATTATTGCTGTAAGTTTTTGAATCTTATAAAGCTTAGTATCAGCATCATTAGCATATACTGTGCTTATGAATATTTGTAGCCAAAGTAGTTGAATAAGTTAACCTATTCTGGTATGATGTTGGTTGGTATTGTTATTTCAATTCTTACAGTTCCTCTGAATGCAAAGGCATCAGTTGTATTTGTGGAAATTTTGAAGTTGCATTACTGTTTACTTCATACAGAGCTCATTATTCTGAGCAAGCAAATTTTGCTTTATTATTGGCTCCAGATATTAGTGTTTAAGGGTGTATTGTTAATATACAGTAAAACTTGGTTATAGCAACATCGGTTTCTGCGACACCTTGTCTATTGCGTCAAATATTCAATGGTACGGACTAATTCCTCATAAAGCAACTGTTTTTATACCTTGCTTAGTACGACATGCACAAATGCATCAACCTCGTATGTAACGTCATTTTCATTCCTGAATTTCTCTGATATCGTGGGAAAGTTAGATGTATCTGCCCACCCTCACTTTCTCTACTTGCTGACATGACTGTCCTGGAAGAATATGAATATATGGGTTTTATGTGAAAACAAGGGTGTGGGGTGGGACTGCGTGAATAGTGCAAGAGGACGCGGCAGGTTGTTGACTGCATTCCTTTCCTAGAATCTCATCTAACAGGACCTCACATTGTCTACTTACCCTATAGTGTTCCTGCCTAAACCCAGAGAAGTGCAGTAGCGAAAACATGGCAATGAAAAGGAAAGTTTTAAGCATTGAAGAGAAAGTTAAAGTGATTCGTGAAATATTGTGTGTATTGTTAGTGAAAAGCGCTGTAGTGTGTCTTTGATATTACACATTTGGGCAATTCCACGTTAATGTTACGTTAGTCTGTACTTAACTACATATTTCACTAAAAAATGCAACATTTTAACTCTGTTTTTGGTAGATTTTTACGTGACTAACATAAGGCTACTGTGGAAGTACCCATTTCGGTTACGACGACATTCGTTTATAACGACACTATTTTTAGGTCCCTTTGATGACGTTATAACCAAGTTCTACTGTAATTTGTTTTTAGTTACTTTTGATGCAGTAATTAAATAATGTAGGTGAGTGGCATCCTTGTGTAACACACTGTGATCTTATAAACTTTGTTTTCTCCAGGTTCAGTATTAATATTGGTCCTATGTTTATATATAGCATCTATATTTTTATTGGAGGCGCGCTATGGCGTAGTTGGTTAAGGCACTCTGCTACAAGCCGGAAGATTGCGGGATTGAATCCCGATGAGGTCATTGGATTTTTTTCAATTTACCTAATCCTTCCAGCTGCACTACGGCCCTGGGGTCGACTCAGCCTCTTAACAGAAATGAGTACCTGGAATATTGTTGGGGTTGAAGGGCGGTTGGCGCATAGGGCTGAAAATCTTACAGCCATCTATGAGCTGATTGTCTAGAAAATGTGGGCCCCCAAGGCCTGTTACAGGGATACCTTTACTTCCCCCCCCCCTATTATGATTATTGTCATATGATATGGTTATATAGATTAATGATGGTGAAACCATGATTGAGCAAGTATGGTCTACAGCAAGGACTTCATTATAGTGACAAACCATTGGAATTATCGGTTTCTTGATGTTAAGTAACCACATCCACAGAACATAATTTCTTAATGAATCTGTGGTGAACTAATAAATGAGGGACAGAAAGCCATAAGTTGGAACAAGGACATTTTTCTGGCATCTTTGTTATAATGAGTGATTGTTACTAGCTGCACACTGCAATTGTTTTCCCTGTATCTTTTCCACCATGTGTACTTGCTGTTTTGCTTTCGAAGTTATCCTCAGGTGTCCTTTGACATACCCCCTTCCTACCCTTTTCTAAGAGGATTTCAAGAGTTTGGGAGCTTACTCTTTCCAGATTTTAACTAAGAAATTACATCAAAGGAAGTCCTCTTCAATCCAATAGCTTGTTTTATTGTCACTTGGCTAGTTAAATCCTACAGAATTACTGGGTTTTTGGACTTCTTCCATTGTCCAGTATTCTAGAAAGTAGAAAACATGACATTTCAGAAACTGGATCTGTTTCTGTCCTCAGGTGAGGGTGGGAAGACACCTGCTCAGTTAAGCCCATTAGAAAGAGCTAATCTCAATCACTCTTTCCGAAACCTGTTTTCTAGGATAGGGGATGATGGATAAGGTCCAAAAACCCAATAATTCTGTGTGATATACACCATCATCAGAACCCTTTAGAATCTAGTTAAATCCTAGTTTACAGAAGTGCCATTCTCATCTTCAGTTTCCTCTTCACCCGAGCTTCCTGTGTGGTCTTAAGTTGAACAGTGTCACTGGACCTAATTATGGAGGTGCATGTTTGAAATTCTGTCCCCATTAGACATTACTGTGTTTAGGTTGCTGCCAAGTGACTATTTCAGTGATGTCCATATATATTTCCTGCTCTTGAATGATTATGATGATATAGAACCTCAGAGATTGATTCTCGTGCACGTGGAATTTTGTTTTAGAGTGATGCTGGACTGACTGGACGCAAGATCATTGTAGATACATATGGAGGCTGGGGTGCACATGGCGGTGGAGCTTTCTCTGGCAAGGACTTCACCAAAGTGGATCGATCTGCTGCATATGCTGCTCGGTGGGTTGCTAAGTCTTTGGTGAAGTCTGGGCTCTGCAGGCGCTGCCTAGTGCAGGTAACTTTTTTTTTATCTGTGAGGTTTTAAAGTAGTAAGATTTTTTTCTGCCATAGATAACATGACACAAATTTTACTTTTGCATTGTGAACACTGGATTTTACATTCCTTGGATGTATGATTTCCTTGGGCATATGGATGTTTTTATTGGCCCCAAAACTACCATAAAAAGAATCTTAAAATTTCCACAGTTATGCTTTTCACCAAATTCCTTGGTTATACGAATATGTTCAAATTGAGCATAAATTGGCCTGTTGCTTTAAATGCTTCTGCTTCAAAATCAGGAAGAAAAATCGTTAGTTACATAACTTTTTGTAACCTGTCGTTTTAATTGCCACTTGTTTTTTCTCTTTTGAATTTTACTGCATAATTGCAAGCCATGTCAAACATCAGTTTTATCTGCATTGCTGATTTCACTTCAAGAATACTTATTCCTTTGGCGTAGTCAATAACAAAACATTGAAATTAAGTCGGTTTCAAATTCTGAAAGAAGTTCTCGGCTATTATCATCCTTCATCACAGTGATAAGTTTTCTGTCTTCATAAACTTTTCACACCATCCATGACTAGCCTTGAAAGATATACTGCTGTTTCTAGCAAATTATTTTGCTTTTGACATTAAGATTCTTCTAATTTCAGATAATCCTTCATTTTGTAAATCTTTGAAATACTCAACATCAGTCTCAGGATTTTGCCCCTCACTTGGCACCAGTCTAGTTGTCAGACATGGAAACACCTAAGAATTACTGGGCTTTTGGACTTTTTCCATTGTGGAAATAAGAAGAAACGTTTTGAAAACAGGATCTGTTTCTATCCTTGGGGGGGGGG